TGGACTCCAGGTCAGTTTGAAGCTGCTTCACTTCCTTTTCCAACTTCTCCTTCCTCCTGGTTTCCCAATGAATCTCATTCTGACGCACCTGGATGTCCTGCTGGAGCTGTGAGAGAGAGACAGTTTTGTTCCAAATGGCATAAATTACAAATACCTACAAAGGGCACTATCTATATATCTATCTATCTGTCTGTCTATCTGTCTATCTGTCTGTCTGTCTGTCTGTCTGACATACAGACATCATAAGCATCAGCCGGTGTGTGCAAATGACCATTACTTTCAACCCTTCCACCCCTTTAACTTTTAGAGGCACTTCTAAATGGAATACATTCAGAGTTTAAAGTGGTTTGTCAGACCACTTATTGATTTTCTTACTGTGCTATACACAGTAAACAATTTAAGATTTATTTTGCCAGGGAGGTGACAGGGAATCAAATCTGTCCAAATTTACAAGTTTAAGTGCCACATTCACAGGGTTTATTATGTTCCATTTCTCACAACATATGAAGACACAAGACAGGAACTGCTAGAAATTCTTATACGTTTGAAGAGTAACAATCTCCACACACCATACTTCAAATATTGATTTGCTGACACAGATGGACATTTGAGACAAAAAATGCTTTAATTTATCCTAAAACGTATTCATAGCCTTAAAATCGGACAAACAGCAGTAAAAAAACTGCTGATATTGATTCCAGTGATAAAATGAGCCAATTATATTTTAAATGATTGTTTTTGCATGTACTTGTACTTGCGTATGCACTCTGCACACTCACATAAAGTTATATCACAAGACCCAGTGGTGTCATACACAACGTTTTTTATGTTATACCTGAGCAATTGTGTCCATCGCTTTGTTCTTCTCAGCCTCAGTCTCCTGCTGAGCATCAGTGGCTTTAGTGAGGTTCTCCCGGAGAGTCACCACCTCTGACAGCAGCTTGTCTATCTGCTTGGTCAGGTCCTCTTTAATCTTTAACAGATCGCCAATGCTAGACACATTCAAAAAGGTTTATGAACAAGCTTTGTTCCTCATGCCCACCAGAACACCTCAAAAAGGTCCTCTGAAGGCCATCAGGCCGCATTTACCATAGTACGAAGTTATGAATAAAAATAAATATTAGAAAAAGAATTGTGTCAGGCATACAAAAACAATATCTGCAAGATAAAAGCGTGTAACTGCCTGTATTCTACCAGAATCAAAAGGAAAATGGAGAATAGCCTGAACATAAAGTTGTATATTGTTCACCTGTATTCTTGGACCTCCGAGACTCCAGTTCCTTTTTCAATAAGCTTATTGAGACAGATTATATCCTCCTTTAGTTTCTGGATTGTTTCTTTTGCCTGCAACTCCTTTGCATGTGAAGCTTCAACCATTTTCCAGGCCTTGTCAATTTCCTAATCAACAGTAAAATAAACAGATAATTTGCTAAGGCAAACGATGTGGAAAAAGCTCGAAATTAAGTCTAATGTTCTACCATATATGAGGACATCATGCAGAGGTCATCGTGTTTATTTCTGAAGACACAAATGAGCACAACGTCCATTTTAGAGTGCAGTCATTTCAGGCTAATGTACCATTTTAAGGGAGGTGATTGTGGCTTAAGCTAGTTTCATGGCTGTGGATATTTTGATGGTGTTGGACACTATCTCTGCGTTCAGCTCCCTGCATTTGGACATCAGTCTCTTTTCATTCTCGTGGGACTTCCGCAGAGCTTTGGCGATCTTCTCATATTCCACATGAAACTTCTCTAATTTTTTCGTCTCCTGATAACTCATTTAAAACCTCCTCGATGTCCTTTTCCATGGTTTCAAATGTGCTGTCCTCAGTCTGAAAATCAGAAAATGTAAACAGTAAGTGATATTATTAAAAGATGCTGTCTGATAACCTAGGACCTATGCTGACAATGTAAATGTTGAAGATAGTCTGAAAGAGTTGAAGAGAGTCTGAGACTGGCATATTTGTAACAGTTTGCAAGTCTGCAGTAGCACTGCTGATGACATACTGAAATATATGATCAAAACACAAAGAACAAAGAGGCGGCAGCAGGTGCTGGTTTTAATACAGCTGTTGGAGAGTTCACAGGCTTCATGGGGAAAATGAAAGGAATCATACACTGAAGCTTTGCCTAATCTATCTAAATATACAGTTTATTGATTGTGGTCAATCATTCTTTCAAATCATTACTTCAAATCTTTTAGCAATTAAAAGATTTACAAAAGATTGATGGGGTGAAAAAGCCTGAGACGTTTTTTTGGGGGGTATTTTGGCAGAAAAAGACGTAGAAGTAGATAGTAAGTAGTAGATAAATTTGTAGAAGTAGAAGAACTGTTACTGGAACTGACTAACCCTGATAATTAGTTTTCAATTTGCAATTTCTGGTATAAAATAAATAAATAAATGAGTTTATGCTTGTGTTATTAAAAGGGTATAGCAAATAATGAATACAGTTAAAGTGGGACACTTTCTGAAAATTTTCCAATGTGTTGTTTTAAAAAGCATTACAAATATGTGTCCCACTTTACTTGTTTTCACAAAGCATAAACCAAGTTGTTAATGTTTACAACAATGTTGACAATCGTACAAAAAGGTACTTTTAAAAAAATCACCTTATCAAAATGGAAAAGGCTCATAAAACGAGTGTCCATAAAACTGACCCAGTAAAGGTTTTTGTATTTTTATTTGCATTTTATCTTATAGCCTATAAAATATAATTATATAATTGTATATTTCAGCTATTTTCATCTAGCATAAATGGTAGAACTTTAAAAACGTTACAGTACTTTTCACTTTACTGTAACAACTCAAAACACTGAAATGCTTCAGAGTAATGCAATAAATATTTAACATATTTCACTGGGACCACAGCAAAAACTTAGTGTTTGAGATGCTAATAACTAACTTACATATTAGCATCTCAAACGCTAAATTTTAGCTGTGTCTTATTCTAAGATCTAGTATGTCTCCCCACAGTTCGGCAAAAGTTGCAGATGAACATACCTCCATTGTGGTCGTTTGTCGGTCCTCTCTAAAACTCAGCAAAATGTTGTTGTTTTGTATTTAATGAACTGTAACACACATAGTATCCCTGTTTTGCTTCAACGACACGCACGACACTTGTAACGGGACATAGCGCTCCCAAATATTGTGGAGAGAATATTATACAGAGAGAAGACACGATTATTAAGAATAATGAGTAAATAATGTGTAAGGTTCATCAAAGTTGTTTGTGCATGCGCCCTGCTTTGTTTGTGTGTTGTTCTTTACACTAGATGGCAGCTTTACACAGTGCAACTTGTAATAAAGAGCAGTGAAAAATATTTATTAACTGTCAGCATAACCAAAATCCTTTAAACATACAGTATGTATAACATAGGATGAGCTCAGCAAATGTGGGACAAATGAGTATTATGACCAATTGCCTTTTAAAAATTGTCACTTGTCATTCATAATTGCATAAGGATACTGTCATTCTGGAAATGTTTTAATTTATCTGAGGTCATAATAGTGGATCATTAAACTTCAACATCTAACAGAATAGAAATCACCTCCTTTTTTTTTTTTACAATTATTATTGAATAAGGTATGTATTTTGTTACTAGTAAGGATATGTTGTAACTACTGGCTGTAAGGTAATGGTGAACACGTTTTAAAACTGTTCTGATGGATTGTGGTCATTAGTCATCAAACTTTTATGAGTTATATATGAACCGTGTCATTTAACAGTTGGAGCCTTGACATTTACTGAGCTGTTTCTGCATTGTTTTAAGTGCACTTTGCTGGACATTTATGGTCATTAGGTGATCTTGGGCTGGTAGACCACTTTAGACCAGTAACAAACCATCTATTGTACTACATTCCAAAAACCAGCTTAACCATCTTAAGGTGATATAGCATGGATTTTTTTTTTTTATTATCATAGACCCATGCATACTTGATTGATTGATTAATTGGTTGGTTCGTTGATTGATTGTATAATTCTACAAAAACAAAAAAACAAAAATCAACGCTGTGCCTAACTGTGTTCATTTTAAATTTTTCCCACACAAACTGAGAGTATAAAACTTTATCAGTGCTTAATCACAAACCAGTGACATTTCTGGCATTTGATTATGCTCTCTATGACACTCGTGTTCAGGCCCAGATTCAGTCCAAGCTGGGACAAATCCTCTCTGCCAGTCATCCCAAATCTGCAGCACATGTACTCAGGTAAGCAACCTGCTGATTACATAATATGGCAATGTTATTATTAATAATTTTATAATTACACTTCACTGTCCCTAGCCATGCTGAATGGTGTCAGATGACGCAATGAGAGGTGTGGAAGTTCCTAAAGACCTGTTGAGTCACTTAGATTGTGTCTAGCCTAAATGTGTTAGCATTTTCTTAAATAGTCCAGTTGCTGGCCTTATATGGAAGAATTTTAAATATTATATCAATTTGATTCAGATAGCTTTGTGACATGACTGTAAGTAATAAAACATTACCAAAGCTGGGAATAGATGCTAAATAAATGAGTAAGTAAATAAATAAATAAATAAATGTATTTTAGGACTTAAACTATACATTATTATTGATGATTTGTTTCTAATTGTAGACATATTCCATATTGACGTTCATCAATACCTGAAATAGTATTTAAAAAAAAGAACACTGAAATGCGTTTTGAGTGACTATTACGGCGTGTTTTGGCTGTTCCCTTCTGGATCTCCCTTGTATGTTATGTTCGTATTTTCCTGAAGTAGCCTAATGTTGAGTCACTGACTGACGCCAATAAGTGACACATTGTCATCAGTTCGTGCGTCGGCACCTGAGCTGATGAAGTCTGATCTTGCCGCAAATAGTGTTCATATACAGTACAGAAATGTTGGCTTCCCCGTTTAAACGAAAGCATTCAGTAGTAGCCAAATTGTATAGGTGAGTGGATTATATACTTATGAGGAATCATCATGCTGATGGTTGGGGCAGTATATTTCATCTAATCTAAAGTAGAAGCAGGCGCGACAGATGCGCGTTAAATCCCCGATGAAGGCGTGCGTCAAAAACTCACCAAAGCAGGATAACAAAACAAATATCCGAGGGAAGAAAAGTTAGCAAATCAAATCGTTTTTGAGCTGACCTACTTAAATTATCCGGTTTATTCCGATTTCGTTCATTGCAAACCTCCCTCAGTGCCTTTTTTGTGCGTTTTCCCAAAACGCAAACACGCGTCTTCCCACCTGCAGCTTGGGCGCGTTTGGGCAGCTGATGCTTTTCAATGACAGTTCATCGAGCAGAGAAAAACTTGTGGATCTGTAGTCGGTTCACACCCGACTTGTCACGGACATAATAGCAACAACAGATCAAGAGAGGCACGATAAGGGTGAGTTATAGTGCCTGGCGCTCGAAGTGCAACATTTGGAGATCAGCAGCATCAGCAGCAGCACCAGCAGTCATGGGCAACAGTGTGTCCGGAATCAGAGCACTGCACAGGGGACAGCAGAACAGATTTCAAAGACTTCCAAACTCACATAAAGGTTAGTAGTTTATTTGATTTGATTTTATTCTAGTCTTTCTGAAGTAAACAGTAGAGCATGGCGCTCGCAACGGAAAGGTCGTGAGTTCGATTCCCGGGAATGCGAGAAAAAAAATCACTGGGGAAAAAAAAGAGTGTCAAATGCATAAATGTAGTTGCCTATATTGCATATTTATTGTCCCCTATTTTGTACATAATTTGGAATATGGTTTTTAGCTGGTCCAGGTAAGCTGTATTGGCTAACTCTCATCATCTTTATGGTCTACTAGGGCAAGATAGCATGTTCCAAATCAAGTAACCAGCTCAAGATTTTTTAGGAGAGAAGAGATTTTCTTTTTTCTATTTATTCTAAAGTTAAACGTTCTGCACCAGAGAGTAGTTTGTAATTGATAGGCCAAAGGTTCTTACACTTGTGCCACATTCATCAGCTTCTTAAGTGTTGAAAGCAAATAGTGAAACTTTACTTTGTCCATGTTACTCATCACATACCCAATACTGTGATTAATTATTACAGCCATAATAATAACAATGCGCAATTATGAGCAGCTCTGCAAACAATTAAACCCTTAGGACATCATGTTCATTAATATTACTCAGTATTTACTTATGTAAATACACACTGTACTATGTGTATGATCGTTGTACTGTACAGTGTGACCCAAGTTATAAATTATGAGACCAATTCAAAAGTCCAAGCTATCAGAATGACCCAAATTCGCTGTCTGTGCCGGAAGTTCAACTAGGTCCGGTTCACCTGGTTAAAAGTTGAATGGTCTCACTTTCCCTGACCGAGTATCCTTCAGAAACATTATTTTATGTAAGCCTCTCCTGAACTCCTCTCCAACTCCTAGTGGTGCTGCGTAGGAGGTTTGCGGCGATGGAGGTAATTTTTGAGATTCTGTTCTGTTTCAAAGCTCTTCTGATTCATGCATAACAGAGCATCTGATTATGAAGATTATGCCAGTGCGGATATAATTGCGCCCCTCATTAGAAATCTGGCATATTAAATAATAATACAAAAAAATCAAATTTCCTGAAATGGAAAAGTATCATATTTGATACATCAAGCTTTTATGGTTCATTTATTTAAAATAAAAAAAAACACCTACTTCAACTTAAAAACTTAAGTTCAGCTGCCTTAAATTGATAAGTATAATCAAATTGGCTGTACAAGTAATTTCAGCTCAAATTATATTAAACTGTCTTAAAAACAAAAATGAATCATATTACTTAATGAAGTTGAAATTGGTTAAATTAATGACAAAGTAATGGAGGGGGGAAAAAACATATGTTGCCATAAATATGGAGGTTGTACCATAGGAGAAAAAAACACCTCAGTTTTATTCAGAGGCCCAAACCGAGCAAAAATATGCAATTTAGTGCAATGGCTGAGATTTATATGGTCAACATATAATGCAATGCAATACAATGATGTTTGAGAAATGTACAAACAAACATTTCTTCAAAAGCCTGATGAATCATATTTGATACTCACATTTTAATATGATTTTGGATCATGTATGGATAATCGTGAAAACCTAAATTGTCCTATCCATTAGCTTATTATAAATCTTCATCGAATCATATTGGAATGCAATTTATCTGGGAAATATGATTTTTTTTTTTTAAATGTTTGCTAGGCACAAGAATCAAATAACAATCACATAATTTTGTATGACATAAAAAAATGAATAAGTGACTAAGTAAACCTAAATACAGTATTTGCAGATTTTATGCTAAATAAAAATGCCCTAAATTGGCAAACCTATCTATAATATAACTGACTTATAGTGCCATACTTGGGCCCTGCATGAGCTCATCTTTTTAGCATGTGCACTTTGCAGCACAGCACATACAAAATTACAGTAACAGCGTAAAATATTCCCATATGGCTTTTTTTCCCTGGCCAAGATCTGTTTCAAATAAATGTTAAATATTTGTTGTAAATTACACAGCTTAAGGAAATATACATTTTTCTTTATATTATTCTCCACTCATGCTGGCAAAACTCATTCACTTGCATGTTGCATCCATAATCATGTGATTCAAATCAAAGCTTGCAAGGCAGAAAGAGGCCATCAGGGAGATTATGTTACAGATTGCTTTTTTAACATGCTGTACAAGCCCACACACATTTGAATAGAGGACACACACACTTACTCACATAAAGACCCAAACCAACATGACGTTTTCCTTTGGGAACAACAGTTTAGTTCCATTTGAAGTCACTTTTTAACATGGCGAGGCAAAAAAAAAAAATCACAGTAATCTGCTGTGAACTGAATGAATAATAATGGCTCACGGCTCATTTCTGACAGCTGCCTGATATGCCTCAGACAAATTAAAGAAGGTCAGACTCACAGAGAGTTGTTAATAGCTCAAAGGCTTTTTGAGGTTTATTAAGCATTGAAAAGGTGCACATAATTGCCTGATATGTGAAATGAACTCCTGTGCAAGGCAGTTTAACTGATCTGAAATCTGAAAGCGTGGTTTAATACTGATGATGTCAAACGGATAGTTCTGTCGTAATTTCTCACCCTCACATCATTCCAAACCTGCATTAAGTTTTTTCTTCTGTGGAACATAAAATCAATTATTTTGAAGAATGTTGGGCTCCAAACAACATTGGACCCCATTGACTCTCATTTAATGGACAAGAAAGAAAGAAAGAAAGAAAGAAAAAGAAAGAAAGAGAAAGAAATGTGAGTGGAAAAGTTACCCATGCAAAACTTGCTTCCGCGCTGCTAGGGAGATTTTTGGGGGGATTTTTTTTTCCAACTGTATCATCATCTGCCTTGCACAGCATCAATCTCATGACTTAGAAAAGTAATAGATGATGTCTCCAGAAGCCAAGCAATTTGAGCTCTCATTCATGGATGTAGATTTAAACAGTGAAGTGTGTAATTCAAATCCCTGAAGCAAAGAATGAGCAATAGCTCAGCTAATAAATTGTTCTAAGAATGTTGTGCTAACATTTCCGTTAAGTTATAAAAATCTTATTTCTGAATGTTAAAAAAAAAATGTTTCTTGTTTCTTCTAGGGAACATTCCAATCTATAATTTTCCTAACATTATGGGAATGTTACTTTTCAATGTTCTCTGAACATTCTATTTACTAATTTCACTTCTAATGTTATTTTGCTATAATGCTATTCTATTCAAATGTAATAACTTTACCAGCCTTGGCTGTATGCTAATTGTGATGCATGCCTTAGCAAGCACCATTAATGAAAGATGAACCTATTTTTTGTGTGTGTTCTATGGCTCTGTCTTTGTGTAGATTGCCCTAGTTGGTTAGTTACAGAATAACTGGTATTCTTGAATAAATAGAACAGGTATTCTTGAATAAAAATGATCATCTAAGACCATGGTGTTTTTCATCCAGAAGAAAACAGCCCACAGATCTATTGGCAGCTCAGGACTATTAATCAGCAGACCTGATTGTGGAGCCCAAGGCCGTTGATGGGAGCATTTAACATTTCCACTAAGTTCATGAGCTGAAATCTTGCAACACACATGGCTAACCTGACTTTGACTGCATCCAGACTGCCCTCATTCAGGTTGCCTTAACTGTAAGCAGGGAAATTTCAACTAATCACAGCTTGACCCTCTACTTATTACGGAATTGATGTTTGTTTAGTGATTTTGTAGCGCTGCACACACCACTTACCCACACACTGAGTGTTCAACATTCAGAGTGTTGAAACGGAGACTGGAATGCTGTGATTTATCCCTGACTCGCTGTGATTTCTTATATTTTATATATGGCACTTAAAGGTGAACCTTGTAATTCTGGTAATTATTGGCATGAATGCTACAATTTTGCAAAAGCAAAAAATCCTCAGTAAATTGTAATCAGTTTATCTTACATTTTCTTCACAATTCACAGACTACAACAAATCTACGGTATCTTCTTATGAGAAATGTGCTATATGTGCTGCAAGTAAAAATATAGACTAGTAAGATCATAATTTTGTATTTAATACAAGAAGTCATAGTGTTGCAATACCCCCAAGTGCTCCCAAAAGGTTAAATGTTCACTATGTGCAGTAGTTGCACACTAAGGTTTTATTGTATATTTCTGTCCTTAAAGCTGTTATGCAATACAGTTCACCCTCCATTTCTCTTGCCATTACCTCACAGAATGAGTATGAAAATAGACCTCTGTTTCTCAGAGCTAGTGATATAAAAGCTCTGAGGTCACTGCGGTACTCTGGAAGACACAAACACGTGTTAAAAAAGAGCCTCCAAACAGAATCAGTCATCTGATTAAGCCTTTTCATCTAATATTACATAAGCAGAGTTGCACTGGTGAGTCAGGACATATATCTTGTGAAAATTATTGTATTCAGTCCTGAAGTGCATCATGTTTGTCTCAGTCTCAGAGTATCAGATGAGACACCAACAGTCCATGTTTGTGTTTACAAGGTGCCTGTGTTGATACATTGGGTCATATTCATGAAAAAAACAGCATAGCAAATTTCTGTGTAAATCATACATAAATTTACAATCAATTTAATAGCATAAAATATGAATATAAACAAATAAATAAACAAACAATCTGCTTGCATTTTAAGAATAAGAATTTTATTTTATTTTTTTACAATTAATTTATTGATGGTTTGCTAAAGTTTGTCAAGTTGGTGACACTCAATCTTTGAAATATTATATGTTATATAAGTAACCATTCATGAGCAGAATATTATCGAATATTATGCTTTGTTTTCTGAGTTATGTCTGTATTTATTAGCTTTTGGATGGACAGGATTTTTAAACGCAAAGTCAATGCACATTTTACAGTTATAAAGTCACACCACTGTAGTGATAATTTAGTATTATTTATAAACTATTATAGTATTTATACATATTTTGAATTATCTTTTATTTTTACATTTTCAGTTTGTTTGTTTTAAATATTTCTTTATTTTATTTTTATACTTATTTCAGTTTTAGTGCTTAAACTTATTTCATTTGAGTTATAGCTGGCAAGGCAACATTTCAA